TCATCAGGCTTCTGTATTGTGTTCCTCTTGTGTCTACCCTTGTCATCTGTTTTATATATATATGTTTTCTTAAGTTTTCATGGGTACTTACATGTATGGTATTCAGCTTTGTTCAGGTATTTTCCCACGTCATTATAGTTGTGCCTGATGATGGCAGATGAGATTCTGCCGAAACGTTTAAAAGCACAACTACAATGACGTGGGAAAATACCTGAACAAAGCTGAATACCATATATACATGTATGTATGTATGTATGTATGTATGTATGTATGTATGGCTGGGAAAGTCCTCAGCTACTGTTTTAGACGATTGTATAAGAATGTTGACTTGGCAGATTAGGGCCAAATCAGGTAACATGATGACAGGAGAGAATATGTTTAGCTCAGGATGGAACTGAGGGGTCCTTGGTTGGTTTCTTGCAGATGTTTCATTACCCAAAAAGGAAACATCTTCTAGGTAACATCATCAGTGCACTGATGATGTTTTCTAGTTGGGTCATGAAATGTCTTGAAAAAAAAAACAACTGAGCTCAGAGGGCACCAAATCAATCCTCCTCCTCCTCTTCCTCCTCTCACTTCTTTCTAGCACTGATGAAGTTACCTAATCAGGTCATGAAACCTCTACAAGAACACAACCAAGCTCAGATGACTCTCTGGCTAATCCTTGCTATGTAAAGACAGATTTCGAAGTTTGAGGCGCATGATTTGGCAGCCTTATATGACTTCCTTCTGGGTCTCCCCCCCCCCCTTATTTTTTCTCTTTCAGATGCTGGAAAAATTCAAGATTGAAATAAAGAGAAGCGTGGAGGTTGGTACCACTTTTGGCCTTATCCTGATTCCAGACAAGCCCATCTATTTGACACTACGGCGCCATCATTCCCAGCAGTGAATTGGGTGAAATATTCCACAAGCACCTGGTGCCTCTTTTAAAACACTTGCAGAAAGGATGGAGTTGCCAGCTTGGCTCTTAGGGATCACAGTCCAATGGGGTTTCCAATGTCCGAATGTTTACTAAACATAAAAGTCATCCCAAGGTTGGGGTGCAGCAGGATATTCTGGCTGTCTTATATAATACAATTTAGATAAGAAAAAGATTTTCCTGCCCAGAAATCCCGTACATGTAGCACTCTACTAGGTTTGATGTTATTAGATTTAAGAAGATTCCTTCTCATTGGATGGAAGTACCTTTTTGCTGGACTGAGGTTGAATCTCATCCATAATGTCCAACCAGATCCCTTTGGGAAGCTTTTAAGGAAGGTATGGTATTTATTAGGGTCTCTCAACTTTTTATTTTTCCTTTCGGGCAAGGGTAGAAGTGTACGTCTGAAGGCAGAGGCTATATCTTTTGGTTGACCTCTTCTCGGTCCGTTTCTCTAGTCCATTACAACTTTCTGAGCTATTAACATGTCAATTCTGTGTGCCGGATGAAATAAAGTTATTTTCCTCGTTTTGAATCTCCTGACAAACTGACGCATTTAGGGTGCCCACCCTAAAACCCTAGGCCAACATAGCAAATCCATGAATGAGGAGTCTTAATTTTAAAGTAATCATGGTTAGATGGTCAGATCCTCTCCACGATTTGTTTCCAACCAGGATTTTTCTTATGCTCCGATAAAGTTTTTGAAATGCAATGTTCTGTAACCAAGTCCGAAAACTAAGATCATAATAAAGTCAGTGAAAGACGATTGTTACTGAGTCACTTTCCAAAACGGAGCTGTTGACTTCATCGTTGGCTAAGCATGCAGACGAATGAGAACAGAACTAGGAAAAAATAAGCTCATATCACAGCCAGAAGCTCTCGCTTGATTGTAAGCTTACATTAATGGAATCTTACAAGTCTGGAAGTATCTCTCTCTCCCCCTCCCACCCCTTTATGGTCTGAGAAGCTAGGGATATGTTCCCCACAGCCATATTCCTGCAGTACAGTCAGTTGATCTGACTGCTGTCTGGTTTGTAGCTCTTCCTCCTGTCTCCCAAGGCACATCCTCACATACCATTACAAACTCAAAAGGGGGAGACATTTTATGTACTGTACAAAATTTACACCACTTTGCACCAACACTGTCATGTAGTTTACAGAGAAGTCTGTATTCAGCTCATCTCTCCAGGAAAGAGATATATAACTGTATATATTTTACAATAGATATTTTGTTCTGCTGCACCAGGTAGAATTCCAGGGTCTCCTCCCAGACTAAAGTCGAAGGCTGTGGACTCCAACGCCTCTTGAGTTGTGTTGGATTAATGAGGTTTCTAGAAAGGATGGAAGAAGTGGTGTCAGAACACAATTTTCACTGTTGCTTCCTCCTTCCCCTCTGGGGACCAGTTGACCCAGCCCAAATTTCCTCGGCCAATGGGTGTGGACAGTCATGGCAATGGAGCGAAAGCAGGCTGATGTGGAGGATATGTTGACTCTATGAAACCATCGTAAAAGGTCTTCCAGGAGTTTCTTTCCCCCGAGATTACTCCCACTCCTTGGCTGAATTTCAGGAAACAGCTAAGATTGGCTGTATCCCAACAAACCAGTTCTGATGACAGGGAAATGTCAGCCTCTTTCTCCTTCTCAGGAGTAGCAATATTGCAACTATTCCAGCATGGCCTACAGCTCTTCCTCCAGAAAGGCTATGGCAAACCCACCTCTCTGCAGGGTAGCCCCTCGGACTGACTGTGTTTGGCAAGAACAGTAATTTCCCATAATCAATGGAAGAGAAAAGAGAAAACATTAACTGTGGGAAAATTGGGAGCCCTTGTTTTGTTTTGAGTCGGTGGAGACAGAGAGAGGGAGGGAGGGAGGGAGGGAGGGAGGGAGGGAGAGGGAGAGAAATTGTTAAAAATATACTTCCACTTACTAAAACCATCCAGGGGTGCAATTCAACTGGTGTAACAACTGGTTCAATAAGTGTTTGCTACTGACTCTCTCCAGCAAATCAGCTGAGCTTAAAAACCAGGATATAAAGACTAAAGCCAAGGCGGGCAGGTGGGCCCAACAGCTGATCCTGGGAGCTACCGGTTCTCCCAAACTGGGCCAAACCGGTAGAATCCCAACCCTGGAACCATCTCATTCAAAAGGTGGTCAATTTCAATGAGGTTAATTTTGTAAAACATCCCCCCAAAAAGAGCAATGGGATTCAGAGGAACCTCAGATACCAAACAAGGTTGGTTTGGGATATTCATCTCCACAAACAACCTTTATCAACACACTTGTGTCTACCCTTGTCATCTATCTCCACTGTTGGTTGTTGTTTTTTTTAAAGTATACAAGACAATGTTCTTTGCTCAAGCTTTTTCCTGATTCTTTCATCTTTGGAAGTCTGGTCTACAAAGGCATTCTTGAAAGGACCAATGTGGCCTACAGCCCTCACTCCCACCCCCCACCAAAGCTGTGCAATCTTGGCTTACAATTGTGGCTAAGAATTAACACTGACCTATAAGGAGATTCGGCCCCCTAACTGGCTACTTTTGTATGACCTTCCCTGAGTTTTTGTACTTCTCCTCTTCATCCTCTCTCCGTTCCTTCTCGTTCTGTGGATGAAGGGGAGACATGTGAATGGGTTAAGAACAAACATTCTCTTTCGTATCAAAAGCTGATCTCCATTTCCAAATTCTTCCAAATTCTGCCCAAATTTGTTTCCCTTCTGATTCTCCACTTTCCATTTTGGAGGATCGTGTCCCACTGTTGAATGGCGGCTTCATGGTAACCTTACATCTTCTTGGGTATAATGAATTTAACAGAAAGGGAAAGGGAAAAATAGGATTGAATCCTGAGCCATAGAATTCCCAGGATTAAGTTTTTCCACATTTCAGTCTCAACCAAAGCAAAATATTACCCTTAGAAGAGAAGAAAACGTGTTTTGCCATGGGAGATGTGGCCACTTGGACAAGCCCAACCAGTCACAATGCAGACTGAGATGTCCACTTGAGACAGTCGGAAAAGATGCCCCCTCACTTCCTGAACAATAGAAATTTGGAGGTTTGTGACATATGCAACATATGAAAAACAGTTGCAGGAACTAGGTATGGCTAATGTAGTGAAAATAAGGACTTACGGGTGGCATGATAGCAGTGTTTCAATATTTGAGGAGCTACCAGAAAAAGGAGGAGGGTCAACCTATTCTCCAAAGCACCAGAAGGCAAGACAAGAAACAATGGGTGGAAACTAGTCAAGGAGAGAAGCAACCTAGAACTAAGGAGAAATGTCTTGACTGTGAGAACAATGAACCAGTGGATTGACTTGCCTTCAAACTTTGTGGGTGCTCCATCACTGGAGGTTTTAAGAAGAGACTGGATAACCCCTTGTCTGGATCAGTATGGGGGTCTCCTTCTTGAATTAGAAGACCTCCAAGGTTCATTCCAATTTGGTTATTCTGCGGTGATGGACACTGTCCCGTCCCAACCCAAGGACCATCTTGCATGGTTCTACACACATGGGTATCACTACTGAAGCGACCTAGAAGTTTTATCTAGCCTTCCCTGCTAGACTATTTCTGTTGTTTTATGTCCATTGCTCACCGGATAAACATCATGAACTATGAACGATGATGGCGATCGGTCAAATCCAAAGTCATTTTCAAGCAGACGAGAGTTGTAACTCTGCTTCTCTCGGCCCCAGTTCTTGGCAGAGTCTCCCAGCTGCACCAAAGCAGAGAAACATAGCCTCGGTTATGACATAGAGTTGATGCTTTAGCATTGGATGGTTGGCCACCAGAACCAAGTTAAGAAGCTGGAGGAGAATTGGAGAGATGGCAAGGTCTGGCCTTCCCTCATCTCTTCATAGCACAGCCCACCTGACATATTGTTATTGGGGGTTAGGGGAAGTAGGATGAATAGAGTTATGAACACAGCTGATGAGCTGTCCAAATAAAGATGGGATATAAATCTAATTAATAAATAAACTGTCATCAGCATAGGGCATATGGGAGCATTGGCCAAGCGGCCAAACTTAGCAGAAGTCCTTTCTGCTTTAAAAACCATGATTTCTAAATTTAACTCTGAGCATTTGCCAGGAAGCTGAATTTAGCTGTCAACCACAAACTCAAGACACTAAGAGTTAGTACCAGTTATAAATCAATGCTCTGTTCCAGGACTTCTCAATGTCAACTGAGCAACTTTAAGAAGGGTGGACTTCAACTGCCAGAATTCCCTAGTCAGCAAAGGCTTCTAGGAGTTGAAATCCACGCGTCTTGAAGTTGGCGATGTTGAGAAACGCTGCTCTGTCTGAACACAGATTAAAAGTGGTTGGATCTCATTCTGGTTTCAGAGGAACATCTGGGGAGGGATCATGTCAAAACTTCATGCCAGTGAGATGACAATTACCTGGTGTTCCAAGGCAAGTATGCGTGCCTCAGCCTTCTCCAGCTTTGAAACCAACGAGAGCTTTTCTGAGCTGGTTGAAAACATATCCTGGGGGGGACATCAAAAAGGGTTTATGGCTCACAGATGGAGAAGAAAGCCAAGGAATTCAAATAGACTCATGTGGTTTTGGGTTACAAAGGGCCCTTCAACTCAGTTAAAGGAGTCAAATAGTGGGAGATGCCTCCACTGAAGATCAGGTGCCTCCAGAAGTTATGCTCAACACTGGAGGTTTTAAAGAAAAAATTGGACAGCCATTTGTCTGAAATGATATAGGACAGGGGTCTCCAACCTTGACAACTTTCAGACTTGTGGACTTCAACTCCCAGAATTCCTCAGCCAGGAGTTGAAGTCCACAAGTCTGAAAGTTGTCAAGGTTGGAGACCCCTGGTATAAGGTCTCCTGCTTGAGGAGAAAGTTGGACTAGAAGACCTCCAAGGTCCCTTACAACCTTGTTATTCTGTATGACTGTCTTTTGGATCAGACCCATCATGGAGCATCATCACACGAAGACATTCAGTTGATAGGTAGGATAAATAGAGTGTCATGCCCCTGATGGAGACTGACTCTGTGGGAAAGGAGGAACAGCCAACAGGGAGTGGGAGTGTGGCTCCAGAGGTGGTGGAGGAGGCTGGGGAAGGGCAGAGGCCGGCTGAGAAGTCAGAGGAGGACCCAGGCCCATTGCCTATCCATCCTAGGGCACGCAGGGAAGAGAGGATCAGGGAAAAATGTGGTCTACTTGGGAGAAGAGGGCCATGATTCTCTTCATGGGTTGCAGGTGTGAAATCTGCATAAGAGTTTGGACCTGTGTGCTAACAAACGCTGGAGACAAATTAGTGTTTTATTCCTAGATGAGGTTTATCTTGGTTGGCGTTCTTCCAGTGGACTGTACCTGGTTATCTTCCTGAAGTTTATAATTATTTATCCTGGTCTGTCGTGGAACTTTATTCAGTGTGGTTTGTTTTTGGTTTTTGCTTCGTTATCTGATCTTTGAATTTGAACGGTGTTTCTTTCGTTTGGAATGTTATTTTGAAAATAGTTTACTCTTCAACTGTGAACAATTAAACAGTGAAGCCAAGTTGAAGGCTGTTTTGGTTTTTGTTATACTTTTGATACACTCCGGATCATCGCATAGGGACATAGGTAATTGGAAGGTTAGATAGATAGACCTACAGGCAGACAGCCAAAGTGGGAAAGGGAAGAAATAGAAGGTATTTGTGGAGTGATACATAGAGATGACAGAGCAGATAATGAGATGGATGGATGTATATACCCATAAATAGATAGGCAAAGGGGATAGAGGAAAGGAGGGAAAAAGAGAAAAGGCAATTGAGTGAGAGGGTCTTACTGGTAAGGCTTGTTGTTGCAATATGATGGGTGAACGAAAAGAAGATTTCCCCAGTTCATCCCGTAGCCTCATGTTCTCCATCAATAGGGTGGAGTAGACATCTTTGGACCAGTTGTCACCTGAGAACCATTAAGGGATGTGATGGTCAAAGACAGAAAGAGAAGGAAAAAGCTTCGTAAGTACCAAAGAATCTCTTCTTCAGTTGGGAACAGAAATGGGTTACCCAGCAATCTCCTTCAGGGTGGCAGCCAAATCTCTTGGGGATAAAGAAGAGAAGACCTGCTGTGGTTTACTTACCAGCCGTTTTGGATAACTCTCCAAAAGAGGCCTCTTTGATCCGTTCCTTCATCTTCCCTTCCAACATCCTCTCCATCCTCTCGATTACCTTTTTTGTGGAAATGGATGAGCATAACGGGATAGGAAAAGGCCTGTTTCCTCTTCCTGAAGGACCCAACCCCCGATTAGTATACCTAACCTTTTCCTGCTGCCGGACCGCATCTTCAAGGGTTTGCATCTTGGCCATCTTGGCTTGATATTTTCGAAGCACCATCTGCTGTTGTTGGTGGGCTTTCTGTAACATCACCAGGTCTTTTTCTCGGTCATTTTTCTGTGGGAAGGAAAATAAAATGAGAAGAGAGAAATCCAGCTTGAAAATCGAAAGTGCATTCCTTACATAATTTTTCAGAGATAGTAACTAGGTGACTGAAGTTTCTCCTGTCTAACTGGAGAACGTGATCGATGACGCTTGGCTATGGATGTGTCCCATTGGAGAATATGAATGATGATACACCCAGGGGGTGGGGGGAAAAACCAGGGTCAAGGGTGACAGTGAATGATGTGCCTCAGAGTTGGCTACACCCAGGCAGTGCCGGACGTGTTAACTCCCAATAAATCCTTTTGAAGTTTTGGAAGTTTGGCTCAAGACTCATAATTTAATTGGGGTAACTGCTGAAACCTTGACAGCAGCATGGATTTGGGACAAAAAATTATAAATAAATGAAGGCTTAGTGGTCCTGTCCAGCTGTCAAGAAGGCCAATGTAAGATGCACCAAAAGAGAATCGCTTACCCTAATCAATTCGTTTTGCAGTCTTTGTATCCGATCCTTCATCCGGGCCATCTCCCGAGCCCCAGAAGATAATTTTTGCTTGAGTGCCACTTGAGAGAGAAAAAAAGAGGCAAAAACTCCAATGAAGGTACAGGTAGTCCTCGACTTACAACAGTTCATTATTGACTGTTCAAAGTTACAACGGTGCTGCAAAAGGTGACTTATGAACATTTTTCACAATTACAACCTTTGCAGAATCCCTGTTGTGGTCCGTCTGCTGGCAGCCTGCAGAGACGCAGCAGAGTCGGACAGTGGGAAGGAACGTGGGCCAATCCGTGAGTCTGCGGAGAACTCAGATGAGGGTCCTGTATCTGATGGGCCACCTGGGAGTTATGTGCTGACTCCGGAGCCTCCGGAATCTGACAGCAGCGAGGCAGAGGAACAGCGGGAGCCTGTTCCCAGTGCGCACATGCACAGAGCTGCCAGAAGGCAAGAACAGTTAAGACAAAAGGGATGACTCAGGAGTAAGGCTTGGAGGTGATTGGCCCCTCCCATAAGACATAAAGGAGGAACAAAGAGATGGGAACCTTTGCAGGAAGCAACTTTGTTCGTACTGGTCGGTTTGAAACCTGAAGCTCTGTGTTGAATTTGTGCTCCATTTGGCCTTGTATAACGAATTAGAAATTTAGTCCTTGGCAGAATTTAAAGAGAGATAAAGTGGGATGCTTATCAGACTTATCCTGAAGGACTTTGGCAGACATCCGTGGGACTATTTACAAACTTTCAGACTCATTATGGGCTGTGAATGACTAAAATTCACAGCCATTGAAATAAAGAAAAAAGGGTTCTGGGACTAAAGTGTGTTTATTAGTGTCTCAATAAGCCTTGGTCAAAACAATCCCTATGATCAGGTGATCATCTTGGCAACTGGATCCTATCTATCACAGTTGCAGTGTTCCAGAGTCACGTGATCCCCTTTTGCAACCTTCTCACACGCCAAGTCAATGCGGAAGTCAGATTCACTGAATAATCTGGTTACTCACTTATCAACTGTAGTGATTCACTTAACAACAGTGGCAAGAAAGGTCATAAAAGGGGGCAAAACTCACTTAAGAAATGTCTGGCTTGACAACAGAAATTTTGGGCTCGTTTGTGGTTGCAAGTTGAGGACTTCCTGTAGTCAGGATTCTTCTCCCAACCCCATGATGAAAGCCATAGGATGACATGTGGCGATCTTGCCACGAATGCATCCAAAGTTAACTTTTGCAGGGGGAGATCCTTGGCCTCGATGGATGCTTTCAAAGAAAAGGAAGACTTCTGGGGTGCTCCCCTTCCTTTCCTTTAAGTAGACCCTTCCCCCAACTGAATGGGCAGAAAAGGAGGAGACTTACTTATTCTGTCGACTATTTCTGCCTTGGTCATAACATCCAGATCGAAGTCTTGGAGAAGAGCCCGGCCAATGTCTTCATGCAAGGCAAGGTTACGTCTCAAGGCACTGTTTTCCCTCTCCAGTGTGGAAATATGTTGGCGCAAGGACAGGATGTCATCCGCCATTTTTTTCAGGGCTGCACGGTAATTATCTGTTTCCTAGGAAGGGAAGGGAGGGAGGGAGGAAGAAAGGAAAGATGGAGGAGGAAGGGAGGAAGGAAGGAAAATGAGAGAGAGAAGGAAGGAAGGAAAGGAAGAGGGAGGAGGAAGGGAAAAAAGAAGGAAAGAGGAGGAAGGAAGGAAAGAGGGAGGAGAGAGGGAGGGAGGAAAGAAGGAAAGTGAGGGAGAGAAGGAA